TTGTATTTCTTAGGTTCAGTACCCTAAGTGGAGGGAAGCCATCAATTCATCTCTGAGCTTTCTAGCTGCTACTATAAAGAAACATCACCAGTTACATAAAAGAAACATCACCAGTTACATAGAGGTTGGAAAACTCAAACACCTCCAGCGCAGGGCGGATAAACAATCTCTGACATTTATTGAGTGCTTTCTGCAGTGCCAGGCACTCCTGTATTAACTCATTTGATCCTCACCTTAGCCCTGTGAGGTAGGTATTATTATCATTCTTATTTTACGATAGGAAAACAGTCTAAGAGAAGTTGAGTCACATGCTCCAAAGTCATACATCTAGTAAAGTAGTGGAGCCAGAATGCAAACCCAGGCATACTGATTCTAGAGCTTCTGCTCTCACCGAGTGTCCAGTGAGCAAAGTGTAATGAAACCTGAACTTCTGAGCACCTGCTCAAGGAAAGAGAGTAGGAACTCTGCACCTCAGGTTAATCTTTGCCAATTGCGAATGGAGGCCGCGCTTTATGAACTCCTCTAATTTGAGGGAGAGACCAGGAATATGGATTTTTATATGAATTGCCTTTATATTTAGAAACTGGACACTGTTTTAAAGCACTGTTTTAAAGCACTGTTTATATTTAGAAACTGTTTAAAGCACTGTTTATATTTAGAAACTGGACACTGTTTTAAAGCACTGTTTGAGCCAATACGATGTAGATCAGACAAAACATATGTACAGGTCAAAGTCAGCCCCAAACCACCTCTTTGGAATTAATAGATTGATAGTTGCCATAAGGAAGAAACTAATTGCTTTAAAGGAGTACAGTTGTTCCAAGAACTGAGACTAGGGTGAAAAAAAATCTTCCCCTTACCAGTTTCTTCTGATAGCCTACTGTGTGCAAGACTCAGTCAGTGCTAGACTTTATGGGGGTATAAAGATTAGTGGACAAAGCTCTTGCTTTCAAATAGGTTATAGGCCAGTAAGAAAAAAATACTTCACTGCTACAGTTGTTCTAGCAGTCAGTATATGGCATTTATTTAGAACATCGCTGTTATGTTCAAGACAGTTGAGAAGATTTACAAACTCAAATGCCAAATGATTTTTGGGGTGTCAAGTGGGTGATGGAAATGTTTGAAACGGGGAATGTTGGGGCCTGTTAAACTATGTAAAATTAAAGCCATTTGATTTTTCTTTTTTTAAAATTTTATTTATTTATTTATTTTTGGCTGCGTTGGGTCTTTGTTGCTGTGCGTGGGCTTTTCTCTAGTCGTGGCGAGCGGGGGCTACTCTTCCTTGCAGTGCGCAGGCTTCTCATTGCGGTGGCTTCTCTCGTTGCGGAGCACGGGCTCTAGGTGCGCGGACATCAGTAGTTGTGGCTCGCCGGCCCTAGAGCACAGGCTCAGTAGTTGTGGTGCACAGGCTTAGTTGCTCCACGGCATGTGGGATCTTCCCGGACCAGGGCTCGAACCCGTGTCCCCTGCATTGGCAGGCGGATTCTTAACCACTGCGCCACCAGGGAAGCCCTGATTTTTCTCTTAAGCCACTTTGCCTGTCGAATAAAACAAGGTGTAGATATGGATTGTCTTTGTGGGAAGGCGGGGCAGGGGGAAGAGGGCTGGGGCATGGGAAGGTAGAAGGTTTTTTTAATACAGACCCACAGTTTTCAACTTCCGGATTAGATAGCTGTCTTAGGGTTTTTTAGGGTATGTTTCCCTGTTTTGCTTTCTATCCCTCAGTTTATATTATTTTATAGCCATTCTGCCAGTCATAAAAAAATACTTAAAGCATTGCATTTCTACATTGGAATGCATGGAACAATTTAGCATACATTCTTTTGTTTTTTATTTTGAGCCCAGTCAATAAAACTGAAGGAAGTTTTGTTATCTTCACTTTGCTTGTGAGAGAACTAAGGTTCAGGCAGCTTCAGTAGTTATCCAAGGTCTATAGAAGAATCAGATCAAGCTGAGGTCTCCTGACAATAGGTATAGTGTTCTTTTTGCTACATCCCATGGCTTCTTTAAGAGACTATCACTTCTGTGCTTACTTTCCTTAAGATATTTTTTATTTTTAATGTGAAAGACATTCGAAGATAAAAATTATATGTATAGAGAATTAATAAGAATGTATCAGGTGAGAATACCACATATAGCAGAAGCCTTCAAAAGTCAGACTGAAGTCTAAACCCAGGTGGTATACTTGCCAAATCTAGGCCATTTGAATCTCCTACAATTGTGACCTAGTACAGTTCTATCTATCTATCTATTTCTTTCTTTCTTTATGCATGCGTGCATGCTGCTCCTGGTCTTAGTTGTGGCATGCGGGATCTTTTCATTGCAGCATGCGAACTTCTTAGTTGTGGCATGCAATTGGGATCTAGTTCCCCTACCAGGGATCAAACCTGGGCCTCCCGCATTGGGAGCACAGAGCCCTACCCATTGGACCACCAGGGAAGTCCCTGACCTAGTACAATTCTGTTTCTGTGTCCTAACACTCACCTAGCAAATAACAACAGTGACTAATAATGTTAGCCATCATTGCCTTAATCCTAACACCAACTCTATGAAGCAGGAACTATAGATATTATTATATAAGCTCATATCACTGAAGAGAAAATTGAGGGTCAGAGAGGGTAAGTGTCTTTCTTAAAGTAACACAGTGGTAGATCTGGAATTTAGACTCAAGCATCCTGGCTGCAGAGCCTGTTTTTAACCATTACATTCTACTGCCTCTGTGATTGGTATTTGAGGACCCTGTATCAGATTGGTGAGATCATAAAAGTGATACTAGTTCTAGATAATAGTTGTTATTTCACCCTTGCATTAGGGAATTAAAAATTAATCAAATGAGAGCCTTTTCTGAACTGTAAAGATGTCGTATTTAACAGTTCTAATGCACAAAAGGTTCCCCTCCAACCCCTACCACCACCGCCTGCTTTTGGATTACCGTGTATATTTGGCACATAGTTATTTAGGGACTACTTGCATTCTTTTGTTTTTGTGGTACGCGGGCCTCTCACTGTTGTGGCATCTCCCGTTGCAGAGCACAGGCTTCGGATGTGCAGGCTCAGCGGCCATGGCTCATGGGCCCAGCCGCTCCGCGGCATGTGGGATCCTCCCGGACCGGTGCATGAACCCGCATCCCCTGCATTGGCAGGCGGACTCTCAACCACTGCGCCACCAGGGAAGCCCCGACAAGGATTATTTTAATGAGAAAAAGGAGTCACAAAAGTCACATGTTCTAACAACTTGGTTTTGATAGCTCTGACCACCTTACCTTGTTCCTCTGAGTTGAAAGGCAGCATTGAGGAGGTAGAATTTCAAGGAAGATATGTGAATAGATAGGAAAGGAACGAGGAAGATGTTTAGCCATAAGCTTGAACATGGAAGATTGGGTGGAAAAGTGGGATGGTTAGAGAATTGGGAGTTGTATTTAATGAAATTGATGGTAACGTTTCTCAGATAGCACTGAATTGTCAGCCATATAATTTGTCACATCCTACTTACTGTAACAGTAAGAATCAGGAATTGTAAGCCAAGATCAAGTGAATAGTTCAGGTCAATGTCAATCCATTGAACAAATACTGTGTGCAGGTTGGTGTAAGGGAAACAATCAATGTCCAGCCCTAAAGAACTTATAGACCACTTAGGAGGCAAGACATGCACATTAATAACTGTGGTACAAGGTATAAAGGGATGCTCCAGAATATCTACAAAAACACCATTATATGCTTGGGCAGGTGCAGAGCACTGAGCTACAGTGGTGAACAGTATAGACATGGCCCCTGCTCTTACAGAGTACATTCCAGTGAGATTAGAAAGACAGTGAACATTAAAATGGAAAAGAGTTTGGGGTTGTCGACTGAAAAAAATACACAACCTAAAGGTGGAGAATTATGTCTTATTTGGGGCATTACTGAGAACTATAGCCCAGGAAGGCAGCCACTCAGATAGCTCTGAGGGACTGTTCCAAAGAGGTGATGGCGGAGCCAGAATACATAGGAGTTTTGGCTGAAAAAAAACAAACGTGTAGTTGAACATCAAAAGATTACTGCTAATCACAAAAACAGACATCTCAAGTTAATGATTTTAGTGTTTTTCTCCGTAGGGGAAGATGCAGGAGCCTGGGCTTACTGAAATCATTTCTTTGATATGCATCTTAACTATCTAGGGCCAGTATCCTGTTTTACAGCTGCAACATCCTTTGTTTACTGAAATGGCAGGTGACATTCTTTGTCCACAGGGTCATTGCAAAGCAGAAAGTCAGTGGGCTGGAGTGTTAAAGGAGGTGCTGAGTGACTACTGACTTTAGAGAGCATTATCCAAGAACGCCTTTCTGAGAAGGTGATGGTGACGTTTAATCTTTTGTTGATATTGGTAGACCCCAGCTCTAGAGTGGTGTGTGATTTCTTCGTTGTAGGGTGCAGTTGTTTAAAATACATATTTCTGAATTAAAATACCATACAGTAAACTACATGCTGTTGATCACAATCATGTGACTAATAGTAATTACAAAAGTGACAAGAGGGGACTATCAGTAAATGGTATTTTGCATTTTAGCAATTTTTGCACTATATTTTGTTGCCAAGTAGTAACCATTTCCCTATGGAAATTACAGTTGACCTTTGAACAACACAGGTTTCGATTCTTTGATTTTTATGATTTATTAACCTTTAACTTTGGAGAATTTATAGATTTGTTCTTTGTTCTTCTGCTCTGAAGGACATTTAGCCAACATTTATTGTACACGTAAACCTATACAGCTTTCAGAACTGTTGCTCCCCTTTGCATGGGAAACATTGTTAAAATGTTAGTAATTGTATGTTTTAGATTTAATTAAAATAAATTCAGGGGCCTCCCTGGCGGCACAGTGGTTGGGAGTCCACCTGCCGATGCAGGGGATGCGGGTTCGTGCCCCGGTCCGGGAGGATCCCGCGTGCCTAGGAGCGGCTGGGCCTGTGAGCCATGGCTGCTGAGCCTGCGCGTTCGGAGCCTGTGCTCTGCAACGGGAGATGCCACAACAGTGAGAGGCCAGCGTACCGCAAAAAAAAAAAAAAAAAATTCAAACAATGCCTATACAGTACATTTTCTGTGCTGCCTAGAAAATTCATAGTTTAAAAGTTATCTTGGAAAATATGGGAACAGTATTTTGAAAAGTCTAAACATTATTTGTGCCCTTAATTCAAAAGCTGTTTAGTTTCTCTCAACAGTAAAAGAGTAGTACTCATGTACCATCTATGAATGTCATTAAAATAAAATTTCCTTTACGGTTAGAAAAGCGATTTATAAATGAAACCCTCCTCATCACTTCCAATTCATTCAGTGTTAGTAATATCAATATCTTAAATTAATGCAATCTTTGTGCTGTGGGTTGGTTTTGTTTTTATCAAAATGTGTGGTTCCTAATATGGCTTATTTTAGTCCTGGTGTATTATCATCTAGATTTATATTATTTGAATTTTGTTATTCCCATTTCTTAATGTATGCCCCAGGGAGAATGTTTTGTTTTTACGTATGAGATGGAGATTATTGTCAATTGATGACTTGGTATAGCATGCATGGTAATCTCAGGTAGGCTTTGTTTTCTTTAAGCACAATTAATTTCTAAAGTCATTGAAAAATTAAACCAGGGTTTCCTATCTTTTTACCACCAAATATCCTTTTTATTTCTCCTCAGAACTTCATGTTTTAAAATACTTTTGGTGAATTTATAAAGAAATCATCATTTTCCCATTTTTATTCTTCAAAGACACGGGTGACAGCCAGTTAAGAGTCTCTTCAGAACAAGATAAACAGGTGTTACCACACTGAGGTGATGAATTAGAATCCAAAACAAAGACTTGATGTTTTTCTTGAGTGTTAAATCATTGTTGTTCTAGAGTCAGTTTCTCCTAGGCATTTTGAAATGTTAAAAATAGCTTGTGGGGCTTCCCTGGTGGCGCAGTGGTTGAGAGTCCGCCTGCCAATGCAAGGGACACGGGTTCATGCCCCGGTCTGGGAAGATACCACATGCCGCGGAGCGGCTGGGCCCGTGAGCCATGGCCGCTGAGCCTGTGTGTCCGGAGCTCCGCACCGGGACAGGCCACAACAGTGAGAGGCCTGCGTACCGAAAAAAAAAAAAAAAAAAAAGCTTGTGGTATTTGTCTTTCTCTTTCTGACTTACTTCAGTCTGTATGACAGACTCTAGGTTCATACACCTCACTACAAATAACTCAATCTCATTTCCTTTTATGGCTGAGTAATATTCCATTGTATATATGTGCCACATCTTCTTTATCCATTCATCTGTTGATGGACACTTAGGTTGCTTCCATGTCCTGGCTATTGTAAATAGTGCTGCAATGAACATTGTGGGTACATGTCTCTTTTTGAATTATGGTTTTCTCAGGGTATATGCTCAGTAGTGGGTTAGGGCATCGACATATATACACTAATGAATGTAAAATAGCTAATGGGAAGCAGCAGCATAGCACAGGGAAATCAGCTCAGTGCTTTGCGATGACCTAGAGAGGTGGGATAGGGAGGGTGGGAGGGACGCTCAAGAGGGAGGGGATATGGGGATATATGTATGCATATGGCTGATTCACTTTGTTGTACAACAGAAACTAGCACAGCATTGTGAAGCAATTATCCTCCAATAAAGATCTATTAAAAAAAAAAGTAGCTTGTGGGCCCCAAGTTGGGAACCACTGACTTCTGGAATCCTCTGGAGAAGCAGGCAGGATCATGAAAAGTAGAAAAAGACAACAGTAGTCTCTTTCCTCTAAAATAGGCTATTGATTTTGTCTTTCTGTGTCAGAAACATCTTATGTTAGACTAAATTATTTGGTTTTGTGTTGTTGGTGTTTTCATTGTTCATTTACCTTTTGTTTTAGGAAGGAAGACTTCAAGAAGTCATTGAAACCCTTCTCTCTTTGGAAAAGCAGACCCGAACTGTGAGTAGATTATAACAGCATTGTGCAATTATCCTCCAATAAAGATCTATTAAAAAAAAAAGTAGCTTGTGGGCCCCAAGTTGGGAACCACTGACTTCTGGAATCCTCTGGAGAAGCAGGCAGGATCATGAAAAGTAGAAAAAGACAACAGTAGTCTCTTTCCTCTAAAATAGGCTATTGATTTTGTCTTTCTGTGTCAGAAACATCTTATGTTAGACTAAATTATTTGGTTTTGTGTTGTTGGTGTTTTCATTGTTCATTTACCTTTTGTTTTAGGAAGGAAGACTTCAAGAAGTCATTGAAACCCTTCTCTCTTTGGAAAAGCAGACCCGAACTGTGAGTAGATTATAATGAAAACCTCAATTGCCGTTAATTTCATTTGACACTGTTTCCATTAACTTTCAATATATTTTCATTCTTACAGGCTTCTGATATGGTGTCTACATCCCGTATCTTAGTTGCAGTAGTGAAGATGTGCTATGAGGCTAAAGAATGGGATTTACTTAATGAAAATATTATGCTTTTGTCAAAAAGACGGAGTCAGTTAAAACAAGTGAGTTCATGATTGATCAAAAATAAATACATTCAAATTTAAATAAGGACTTCCAGAAAAAAAACCTTTCTATGAATCTGTTTTAAATCTACTGTTAAATCAACATCACAACATTTAGAGAGTTTTTAAAAATTCTATCCGTATTCTCATGACAACTGCTTTTATTTTTGTCTTCTAATCTTTATATATTTGCATATTTTTACAAAATTGTTCTGAGTGTTGATGCAGCTTTCTTCTGTTTCCATGTTGCTCCTTCATATTTATTATTTTAAATGGTTGTGTTATAATCTGTCAAGTCGATAATCTGTAATTTACTTAATCATGCCTTTATTAAACACTTAATGTTTAACTTTTTTTTTTTTTTTGGCTGCATTGGGTCTTAGTTGCTGCACGCGGGCTTTCTATAGTTGTGGTGAGCGGGGGCTACTCTCTCTTACTGATTGATTGATTGATTGCTGCCTTGGGTCTTCGTTGCTGCCCGTGGGCTTTCTAGTGCAGTGACTTCTCTTGTTGCGGAGCATGGGCTCTAGGCGTACGGGCTTCAGTAGTTGTGGTGCACGGGCTTAGTTGCTCCACGGCATGTGGGATCTTCCCGGACCAGGGATCAAACCCATGTCCCCTGCATTGACAGGCAGATTCTCAACCACTGAGCCACCAGGGAAGCCCCTATTTAACTTATTTTTGAGGCCATTTTCAGACATCATTTTGTTAAAAATTTCAGACTACTCATTTTGTTTAAAGATTATACATGTTCTCTTTTGGTGTTTTTGTGAAGCTGGATTTTCTTTACTGCTTTCCTGTTCTGCTTGAGATATATTTAAATGATCCTCTATAGAAGTAGACTCCACTTTTTACATTTATATTTTATCTTTAAAATGCTGTTCTGAGTAGCTTATGGGTTTTAATTTTTTGCTTTCAAATGATAAAGGTAATGACATTGTAAAACAAGGTAGTAGTAGAACCAAAAAATAGAAGTACAGGGTTCTTGTCCAAAGCCCTTATTTTATTAATTAGTCTACTGTGAGAGTGAGCTTGATATTAGAGTGGGTTAAATTATTTTTTGCAAAAAACAAAGTTACTGTGATTGGTTTTTTTCCTTTTTCTTAGATAAGTTTACATGCATATGAAATTCACTGTTAAGAATTAACATAGATTTAATTGAGGCTCTCTAGTACATGTGAATGTGAAATTCATTTAAATATGACTTTTGCTGCTCATTTTTGTGGTTTGAGAGACTACACATGGATAAACCATCATCCTCCTCTGATTTTCTAAGAGACTTGCTTTCTATGGGACAATTTTGAAAGGGCTACTTAATTAGAAGTCTTGGGGCAACCTGGGTTAAAATAAACAAAAATATATGTTTTATATAGTATTAATATAAAGTTCAAAGCACATATCCTAAAATACAGATTTAATTTCGTAGAGTCATAACATTTTAGAACTAGTAGAGGGACTGTTTACTCTGTTACTTTTCTGATAGAGAAACTGAATTTTATATGTAAGGCTCTTGGAATGTGAAGAAATGTGTAAGTAACCTATAGCTTAGTACAGAACATAAATCGCAAGTAATCATAGCAATCTTTAACATGTCCCAAGATTGATTTTTAAAGTTTTTAAAAATTACTTGCATACATGGCAACATATAGTAAGTGACATTAGAATAGTAGAAATGCTAAGGTGTATGAAAAGAGGAAGAGAACGGTTTTAATTAAGTTTATTAGGGAAGGCTTCTTGGGGAAAGAGGTGGAGTCAGTGTTATAGCTGGCTAGTGACACCAGAACTGGAACCAGAGCTGCTCTTTGTGCCTTAACATGTTATGTCTTCACAGCTGGAAAGTACTTAGGGACTCCAAATATCTCTTTCCTTTTCTCATAATTACGTTTTACCTCAAACTTTTCATTTTTGCTTTATCGGGGTTAGAAAGTAGTAATCTTCTTAAAATAACCTTTTCTAGGTTACTTAAGATTAACATTTTCTAACTCACTATCACTTCAGCGCAGAGGGTCAGCATCACGCCAACTGTAACTTCCCTAATGACTTCCCTACAGTTTTTTTAGGGAGCAGCAAGATGTTCACTTATCATTAGAATATTGATTTGTTTCCTTTTCTTTTCCCCATCTGGTTTCTGTTAATGTATTTTTTGCACAGCTTTTAGAATGATCAAGTTGTATGCCCTTCTAGAAATCATTATTATAATTAGTTTTAGAGGGACCATCTGTTTTGTGAGAGACTAGGTGTTCCAGAGCTTTGCACTTACTGAAAGAGTTATATTTTACAATAAAACCTTCGCCTTCTGGAACTCCTGGGAGTCTCTAAACAGCTAATTTTCAGATAATTAAGTCTGATCTGAGCTATGTGAACATTAAGTGTTTTTCAAGGAAATCTTTGCAAGATATACCATGGGATTTATTTTTAAAGCTTTACTGAGATTATTGACAGCAAGATATTCTGTTTACTTTTCTGCTATCTTAAAATATGCTTAATGTAATTTAACATTTTCCTGATGACAGAGTCCTAATTATTATTATCAATGATTATGATATGCTGTTTAGAATCTAGATTAGGGGTTGGCAAACTATGGGCCAAGGACGAAATCCTACCTGCCACCTTTGTAAATAAAATTTGGGGGGGACAGAGCTACACCCATTTGTCATGTATGGCATATCTGTGGAGTTACAAAGGCAGAGCTGGATAGTTGCCACAGGTCTTCCCTGGTGGCGCAGTGGTTAAGAATCCACTTGCCAATGCAGGGGACACGGGTTCAAGCCCTGGTCCAGGAAGATCCCACATGCCACGGAGCAACTAAGCCCATGCGCCATAACTACTGAGCCTGTGCTCTAGAGCCCGTCAGCCACAAGTAGGGAAGCCCGCGCACCTAGAGCCCGTGCTCTGCAACAAGAGAAGCCACTGCAATGAGAAGCCCGTGCACCTCAATGAGAAGCCCGCGCACCACAACAAAGAGTAGCCCCCGCTCGCAGCAATTAGAGAAAACCTGCGTGCAGCAACGAAGACCCAAAGCAGACAAAAATAAATAAATAAATTTATTTATAAAATAAAAAATAAAAATGAATAGTTGCCACAGAGGATCCTATGACTCACAAACTCTAAAATACTTACTGTGTAAATATTTATAAACATATACAGAAAAGGTCAGCTGACCCCTGACCTAGATCATAGACTGTTAGCACTGGAAGAAATGTAGTACAACCTGCTTGTACTACCTGTCAGGGAACTGTGGGCAAGAGATGCTGAGCTTTTCAGTGTCGTGTTTTATTGAGGTGGGCGTGGCTGGCTGTGGCTCCTGCTCCCCGCCCAGATGGTGGAACTGTCTTACCTTCTGCTTCTGCCACCGACTCTTTTTATGGCTTCACTGCTGTCACAGCCACTGTTAAACTCTGCTTTTCTCTCCCCCCACCTTTCCCTGCCCTTAATCTGTTGCCGCTTCTTCCATACTTTTCTTCTTGACTGTAAAAAAGCTAGCCAGCCAGCCTTCTATAACGGACATTGCCAGACATGCCTCTTCCACCTTTCCTGTTGTGTAATCAGCTCACCCACCAGTTGTAGTGGAGAAGGGTAAGGTCTTTACACCTGAGGTTTTCCTAACCTTTACTGCTTTGTCACTGAGTATTCAGTACTTCTTAGCTAAGGGTTGCAGGGGTGGGGCTGGGGGGGTTGATTTCTTATATTTTTTTTAATCGGCAGTTCAGTATCTAGAGTTGCTTGGGAAAACCAGATTTGACCACAGCACTTCCATCAATAAAATACTTCCTTTTCCTGTATGAGGAATGAATTTAACTTATGAATGGTTTTTATTATTCTAGGCTGTTGCAAAAATGGTTCAACAGTGCTGTACTTACGTTGAGGAAATCACAGACCTTCCAATCAAACTTCGATTAATTGATACTCTACGAATGGTTACAGAAGGAAAGGTAAGTTTTCTATTAGCAGAACTCACAGTAAGTACTTTCTTACCTGTATTCAGAGATACTTATATGTTTAAACGTTTTATATAAGTACATATGTATGTGTTTTTAAGATGGAATACACAGAATTTTGTCATCTTAATCTAACCCATATCTTTGTAAATACATCTCCTTCTAGTGTCTTCCCATATGCCAGTGAATATACTGAAATTTTTCTAGAAATTAGTGATCTTATCCCAAATTTACATTTGGTAATAATTAAACATAAGGTTATTTTCTTCACGTGGCCTAGATCTGCTCAAGAAGTCTATGTTTGGGATAGCTAAGGTTTCTTAGAGCGTTTACAGTGTGAGGTTAGATTTCAAACTTTCACTGTCTTGCCAGAATCAATCTGTATTTCTTTTGATGCCTGTGCCCCATCCCCACCCCCAATCTAGTGTTTCTCTAAAAATGGCAAGTATGAAATGGTGGCTATGGTAGATACATTTCTTTCTAGGTAGATTTTTGTGGTTTGAAGACAAAAACTTAGTTTATATATAACTTACTGCCTCTTTTGATAGTTTAGTTCATTAAACGTTTATTGAGCACCTACCTGTGTTGTGCGAGGTCCAAAATGGGCAGGACGCTATTTTTAACCTCAAAAGAGATCAATCATGGAAATAGTTACTCTGCTGGTCATGACAGTAGCAATGTGCTTGCTGTTCCCTGCAGCACAGAGGTAGAGGTTGACTGGCTGAGGACCCCAGGAAAGCCTCAGAGAGTTTATGGTGGCTCAGCTGGCTTTTTAAGAATGAATAGAAATTCTATTGGGCCAGAGAATAGGGAGAAGTGCATTTAATACATAGGGGAAATTATATGCAGAGATATCAGAGTGAGGAATACTTAGTACATTTAGGAAAGTGTAAGCAGTTTGTTATCATTGGAGATTAAGGATTTGGGACTGGAGTGGGGAAAAGGGGTTGCTGCAGAGCAAAGCCTAAATGGGTCAGCAAGCCCAAGCATGAAAATTAGTTCCCTAGACTTTGTTAGGCTATAGTTATATTTTTAATGTTTAATTTGTTGGAAATTATAAATATACTAGCATTACAAATGGCTACAAAAGATGCTAGTAACTTTAACTTAGCAAGATCAGATGTTTTTAGAGAAAGTAGCCTTGCATTTAAAGAGAAATCAGAATGAGAGTATTGGTTGAATTATAGATAATAGACTGCATATGCTCTTTGCAAATAATCAGTTCTTTTAAAGGCACTTTCTGTGCCATTTATTTAGTTTTTGGTCCTGTTAGTTGTTAAGCACAGTGATTTCATACTTAGATTCTCAAAGCAAAGTGCAAAATATGGATAATGTTTTATAGAGATATTTTCTTTAAAATTATGTGATTGTGAAATGTAAAATGTCACACAGTGCTGTTTGTACGTGGAGGATAAAGTGCATGACAGCTGCAAGAGAAATACCTTGTTTGAATAATAGTTCAGTTCTACCTTTTCAATTTTAACACGTTTCTGTAGGAATTTAGATAATATAAACTTCTCGTATTTATAGATTTATGTTGAAATTGAGCGTGCTCGGCTGACTAAAACATTAGCAACTATAAAAGAGCAAAACGGTGACGTCAAAGAGGCAGCTTCCATTTTACAAGAGTTACAGGTAAGGTGCTGCATTTTAGAGTATGTAAAATTTTACACTCAGTCAGCAGTATTTTGGGAATTCCCTGGCAGTCCAGTGGTTAGGTCTTGGCGCTTTCACTGCCGAAGGCTCAGGTTCAGTCCCTGGTTGGGGAACTAAGATCCCACAAGCCGTGTGGCGCAGCAAAGAAAAAAAAACAGTCAGCAATATTTTCTTGTAATTGCTTATTTTGGCACCTTATCACTTTCTTCTGAACCACCAAGATTAAGAGTACTATAGAGTGTGAGGTTATTTAAGTAGCTGGAAGTTGTGTAATTATGGTCCCAACCAAATTTAACTGCTAAAAAAGTTTTGAAGAAAAGTAGGATCAACAAATTAGTCTTAACTTTGTGCCCTTATTTGAACATTTTAATTCTCTTTAGAATTTAAATAAAACCAGTAATTCATGTTTATTTACTTATGCCTTAGGAATTTACTGTTCATCGTTGGCTTCATTTTTAATTCATATTTGATTGGTGGTCAACTTCTAGTCTATATTGGTTTAACAAAGAAAAACTCCTTCATAGTTTGCTGTGTTTCAGGACAGTTTTTAAGAGAGGCCTTAAAATGAGATAGCAGAGTGCTAATAAATCTGAGAAGAGCCATTTCTCCTATCAGAAAAATGTACATAAACTATGCTCAAATTTTTTTTTTAATTTTATTTATTTATTTATTTTTGGCTGCATTGGGTCTTCATTGCTGCTCGGGCTTTCTCTAGTTCCGGCGAGCCGGGGTTACTCTTCGTTGTGGTGTGCTGGCTTCTCATTGTGGTGGCTTCTTTTGTTGTGGAGCATGGGCTCTAGGCGCACAGGCTTCAGTATTTGTGGCACGTGGGCTCAGTAGTTGTGGCTCACGGGCTCTAGAGCGCAGGCTCAGTAGTTGTGGCTCGTGGGCTTAGTTGCTCTGCATCATGTGGGATCTTCCTGGACCAGGGCTCGAACCTGTGTCCCCTGCGTTGGCAGACGGATTCTTAACCGCCCTATGCTCAAATTTTTGCTTATAATTTTAGTCCATCAAAGGCTCCCCGTTAAGTTAAATCAATTATTTTAACTTTTCGATCATGTACCTTATCCATTTTAGATAAAGGAAAGGAAAAAAATAATACTGGAAGGAACTTGTATGGCATGCATTGTGTTTGTTGTCATTTTTTAAAACATGTTCTCTATATACTTGATCTCATTTAATGTTCACATGCAACACTATTTTTATCCTCACTTTTCAGCCAAGGAAATTGTGACTCAAAGGAGTTAAGTAACTTGTTGGATTACCACTAGTTCTGTTTGGCTTCAGGCTCCCCACCCCGCCAGACACACACCTTTTTTTTTTTTTTCAATTAAAAGCCTTTTTTTTTAAGAGTATTTTTAGGTTCACAGCAAATTGAGTGGGAAGTACTACCCACTGCTGCCACAGCACACACAACCTCCCCTACTATCAGCATCCCGAACCAGCGTGGTGCATTAGTTACAGTCAGTGAGCCTGCACTGACACATCGTTATCACCCAAAGTACAGAGTTTTACATTAGGGTTCACTTGCGGTGTTGTACACTCTACAGATTTTGACAAACATATAATGACGTGTCTCCAGCATTGTAGTATCATAAAGAATAGTTTCACTGCTTGTGAAGACCCTTTGTGCTCTGCCTATTTATCCCTTCCTCTCCCTAACCCGTGGCAACCACTGATCTTTTTATTCGCTCCATAGTTTTGCCAACCAGGAGGACTATATCTTTTTATTTGCTCCAACTCTATTTGCCAACCAGGAGGACTATATGCCTCATGATTCAACATCCCCTGTGAAGTATTCTTGCCAAAAAATTAATCTCAGTTATATAACGCCTCTAGGTTTAACTAGCAGTTTTTAAGGTATACCAGGGACAGAGGAGCCTGTTAAATGATACCACAGGGATGCAGTCTGCAAACTTCAGACTCTAGAAAACTATAGGATGATTGACTTGATTTCTTCAATGAATAAATGGCAAGGAAAAAAGAGACATAAGAGACATATCTACAAATTGCAAAGTATGAGCCTTATTTGGATTCTGAGTTGATTAAAAAAATAAATGAGACTATTGAGGAGTGACTAGATATTTAGTGATATAAAGAACTTTTAGGTATGATATTTTTTTCAGTTTATCTTTTAGAGATGCATATTGAAATATTTATAATATCTTGTCTGAGATTTGCTTCAAAGTAATTGACACATGGAGAGTGAGTGAACATGTCAAAATGAAACATTTATGGTTCATTGTGTTTGCTTTTATTTTCCTTAAGAAATTGCAAAGGAGAATTAGTGTACGTGGAGTGCTTAGCACAGTGCCTGGCACACAATATGTTGAATAACTATTAAAAAAAATAACGAAGGACAAGACAGTGAAATAAAAACATTTCAGACCAAATTGTAGTAATAATAGCCTTACTTCATTCTATTTTGTAAAAGTGTCATTCTAGATGTTATAAATCATTTATAATATATGTATGCCAAATATTATATTAGAAACTTTTTCATAGTATTTGATATAATTGATTCTCTGTTATATTTGTGGGCATCTACTGTAACTCTGCATTCTGCATCCATAAAGGGTCATATCAGCCTTGTCATCTGAATTTTAAAAAGACCTGTGCCTCTTTTTTGTATAATGGTTTCAACTATTATGTAGTTAGCTTGCAACTGATATCTTTTTTCATTTTTAGAATTGTCATTTCCTTATTAGCCATTAGGAAAATGCAAGTTAAAAACCATGATGAGATACTACTACATGCCTATTAGAATACCTAAAATTTTTAAAAAATACTGACAATACCAAGAGCTGTCAGGGATGCAAAGCAGCTAGAACTCTCATAGATTGCTGATCAGTATGCAAAATGGTGCAGCCACTCTGGAAAACAGATTGGCAGTTTCTTATAAAGTTAAACATACGCTTACTGTACAACCCAGCAATCCCATCCCTGGGTACCCAAGAGAAAGGAAAATTTATGTTCACACAAAACTTGTCCACTGATGTTCAGAGTAGCTTTATTTGTGATAGGCAAAAGATTGAATCAACCCAGTTGTTCTTCAGCAGGTGAATGGATAAACTGGGGTTCATCCACGCATGGAATACTACTTAGCCATAAAAAGGAATGAACTGTTTGATTTATACAACAACTTGAATGAATCTTATTATTCAAAGCATTATGCTGAGTAAACACAGTCTCAAAAGGTTGCATATTATATTCGACATTCTTGAAAAGACAATTCTGGGGGACTTCCCCGGTGGTCCAGTGGTTAAGAATTCACCTTCCAATGCAGGGGATGTGGGTTTGATCCCTGGTCGGGGAACTAAGATCCCACATGCTGTGGGGCAACTAAGCCTGCATGCTGCAACTACAGAGCCCACACACTCTGGAGCCTGTGCGTCACAACTAGAGAGAAGCCCGCGTGCCGCAACTAAGACCCAATGCAGCCAAAAATGAATGAATGAATGAATAAATAAATAATAATAAAGAAAACACAGTTCTGTGGTATTGGAGGACAGATCATTGGTTTTCAGGGGTTATGAGTGTGACTGTAAAGGGGGCATGTGAGGGAGTTATGCGGGTGATGGAACTGTTCTGTGTCTTGATTGTGATGGTGGTTGCATAAATCTGTGCATGTGTTACAATTATTAGAACTTTACACTAAAAGGAAAAAATCCATTTTACTGTATAATAATTTTTTTAAATTGTAATTTCCTGGAGGAAACTAGCTTTTTCTATCACCATCAACACTCTCAATATGCGTGAAGGTTCATATTATTTATCAAGTGTGAATTTTTAATGTCTATTTAATTTTGTTGCAATTTAAAAATATTACTAAAGATTATAATCTTAGTTGGGGGCTTACTCTGCTAGGTGGAAACGTATGGGTCAATGGAAAAGAAAGAGCGAGTGGAGTTTATTTTGGAGCAAATGCGGCTCTGCCTAGCTGTGAAGGATTACATTCGTACACAAATCATCAGCAAGAAAATTAACACCAAATTTTTCCAGGAAGAAAATACAGAGGTAAGCCTATCTCTTACTATAAGTTTACTTCGGAAATGTTGGGGGGAAAACCCTGTAAACCCCAATTTGTTTTGTCAATTTTTTTCAGAAATTAAAGTTGAAATACTATAACTTAATGATTCAGCTGGATCAACATGAAGGATCTTATTTGTCTATTTGTAAGCACTACAGAGCAATCTATGATACTCCCTGTATACAGGCAAAAAGTGAAAAGTGGCAACAGGTAAGAATATAGTCTTAAACTTGACATTGATACTTATTAGGAAGAATTTGCATTTTTTGAAATAATTTTAACTTCAGTAATTACATGCAGTTGTGTGGTACTGCTTTCTGTTCAGTCTGTTGATAGTTCACTTTATCCTTACTGATTCAGATGAATTATTTATTGCCTTTGAAGAAATGTAGGCTTACTATTTAAGACATGTACAGCAGGTTACCTTCTAACAAAGGTCACAGATAAAGACCTAGCATTACTTTGGAAAATTATTTTGCAAAGTTTTTGAATAGATTATATGTGGATTCCACATTTTTGCTGCTAACTTGTTATAAGAACCTATTTTTATACATTTATTTAAAAAAAACTGTTTGGGGGAGGGATAAATTAGGAGTATGGGATTAACAGATACATACCACTATGTATTATATAAAATAAACAGCAAGGATTTACCCTATAGCACAAGGAACTATATTCAATATCTTGTAAAAACCTGTAATGGAAAGGAATCTGAAAAAGAATAGAGATATAACTGAGTCACTTTGCTGTACACCTGAAGCTAACACTAAGTAAATCAACTATACTTCAGTTTAAAAAAAAAAAGCCAACCCAGGTAGTAATTCAAATTAGCAAAGATTCGGGAATTCCCTGGTGGTCCAGTGGTTAGGACTTTGTTTTTTCACTGCTGAGGGTGCAGGTTCGATCCCTGGTCGGGGAACTAAGATTTCCACAAGCCGTGCCGTGCAGCACAGCCAGAAAGGAAAAAAAATTAGCAAAGATTCGCTGCATTTGTTTTATAATAGTTTTATGAAAAGTAAACATTAAAGAAAAGCACTGTGAAGAGCAATCTGATAAGGTTTTTCCCCTGACTTTTGAATACAGTATTAAAAATGAGTATATACAATTATTCCATGAATTTTCACTTTCTGCCAAAGTTTCCATTTTGTTTCTAGTCTTGTATGTAAACTGTTGCATTGTACAACCTTTTTAGGCCCTGAAAAGTGTTGTCCTTTATGTTATCTTGGCTCCTTTTGACAATGAACAGTCAGATTTGGTTCACCGAATAAGTGGTGACAAGAAGTTAGAAGAAATTCCTAAATACAAGTAAGTACTTTTATAATTAGTATAGTGTGTCTCAGTAGAAGCACCAAGAAAATTGGTTAACCTAAGTGTATACTTCTTAATTGGTTATTGATAGATTGTATTAGAGAATAAACTAGAGAAAATAAGTGTTTTTTTAGGACTACATTTGAAATTAATGCAGTGAGGTTATAACACACTCCATTCTAAGCCACTTATCGAGTAGAAGTCTTATTTCAAACTCACTTTTGTTTAATTAATCATTTGATAAATTTTATCATTTGTAAATGTTTGGGGCTTTGTGATTTTCAGAAGTAGATGCTTCTGAAAATCCATTATATACAACATGGGCTTCCCTGGTGGCACAGTGGTTAAGAATCCATCTGCCAGTGCAGGGGACACGGGTTTGAGCCCTGGTCCGGGAAGATCCCACATGGCACAGAGCAACTAAGCCCATGCGCCACAACTACTGAGCCTGCGCTCTAGAGCCTGCGAGCCACAGCTCCTGAGCCCGCGTGTCACAACTACTGAAGCCCACGCGCCTAAAGCCTGTGCTCTACAACAAGAGAAGCCACCGCAATGAGAAGCCCGCACACCGCAACAAAGAGTAGCCCCCGCTCGCCACAACTAGAGAAATCCCGTGTGTAGCAACAAAGACCCAATGCAGCCATAAATAAATAAATAAATAACAAATAAATAAATAAAACAGACATAGGCTTTATCATAAGCCCATTGTGCTTTTTTTTTAAAGCTTTTTATCTGTTTCATTAGTAAGTTTACAGTCAATTAGTCCAGAGATTGGCAAATACAATAGAGGAGATAGCAAAATGATAAGTAGGGGAATGTGCTTTTCACAATTACTGTGGAAAAAATGGTAGTAAAGTTGGTAAAAATAAGTAATAACTTGTATCTTGTTCTACAAACAAAACTGTAAAAATCCTCTTTGTTGATATTTTAAAATTTGCTATTAGATGCAACTTAATTTTTACAGATTTGGAATATATTAAGTATTCTTTAATTTACAGGGATCTTTTAAAGCTTTTTACCACAATGGAGTTGATGCGTTGGTCCACACTTGTTGAAGACTATGGAATGGAATTAAGAAAAGGTTCTCTGGAGAGTCCTGCAACTGATGTTTTTGGTTATACAGAGGAAGGTGAAAAAAGGTGGAAAGACTTGAAAAACAGAGTTGTTGAACATGTAAGGATCTGGCATGATGGAGATGACAATTTAGAAGTAAACTTTGGCAAATTTGAGCATAAACTTTTATTCCTCAAATGTTTCTTTTGGATGTTATGTCTTTAATTCTTCACTTCAGGATTTTTTTTCTATGCCCAATGTAGTAGTGATGTAAATTTGTTGTTCAGATGTTTATTGTCTTATTTCCCAAAGCATATCAGAATTTATCTTACCCCTCTTGTCTTTTTTTCCCCACCTCCTTTTAGCTTTTCAGAAAAGATAACTGTGTTAGCATGCTGCATTTTGAGAGGACCTCTCAAGAATCCAAAGTTTTATAGCATATAAGTCAGAAGGAATTTCTTAAGAATGTGAGGGATGGATGGGGGTGGAGGGAGTATGTTCTTTCTGGTACTCGCTGGGTAGTTTTGGAAATGGGTAGCATGTCTTAAACCTGACCTTTGATCTTCTTTGTGTCACTACAAATTGAATTATGTCAACATTTATTCATTAACAAACATTTATTGTGAGGCTTCTATATGCCACACACTGTACAAAGTGCTGGGACACATGGGAGAATACGACATGGTCCCTACCTTCAAAATGCTTAAAATTAAATCACAGTGGAAGATGCATTTATAAATTATGTATTATGGTACAAGTATACATGTACTAGAGGGGAGCACAAGGAGAGAGTTGATTGGTTCCACCATGAAGAATGGTCAGGCCGGATACATAGGAATAGATGTGGGAGGTAAGATTTGTGAGAAGAGTGTGTAGTCAGCAGGCAGACAAGGGAGGGCAGTCCCCGTAGGCAGATGGGGTGGTCTGCGCTGGGGCATGGAGGCAGCAAACCAGCAGGGGAACTTGGGGACCTCCAATGAAAGGGCTCAGTGAGAAAGGAGGTTGGAGGTACGGAAAAGGGCTGGGTCGTAACAAAGCTGAGAGGATAATGACCAGGCTTGTATTTTATAAAGATTCCTCTGGGAGGAAGTGTGAAGAGTGGATTTGGAGAGAAAAAAGACCGGAGATGAGACTAGCTAAGTGGCTTTATGGGCTTGAATTAAGGCAGTAGCCAAGGTATTGAGGAAGAGTGGGCGGAATGGAATGAACTGTCTTAAAGAAGAAAAGTAACAGAATTTGGTCATTGGTTAAATTTAAAGGATGAAGGAAAAGCGGGGAGTCTTGAGTGATTCTTATGCTTTCTGAGAGGTTGGTGTTGCCCTCAGCCCTGATTAGAGATGGGAGGAGGTGCAGCTTTTTCAGAGATGAGCTCATTTTTCTCCCCACCATCCCCCTTTTTCCTTGTGAGTGCTGCTGCTTTGTTAATAGCATTAACATTAAGGATAACAAAGGGGCGTCTCTCTAACTTTAGCACCACTTCCAGTGAAAATTAAGAGTTTAATTTTGCGTTATCCTTACATAGTTATAATGATGATAAGGTAGCGTTTTGAGATGATTTTGATCTTTTTAAAATTTTAGCCTTTTAAACATTTGTGTCATAATTAGAAAAACTTAACTTTAGATTCTTGCATTTAGCAAAAATAATACGGTTACAACTTTTAACAACTAATTTAGTTAAGCCTATATTTTGACTATATATATTTTAGAAGAGTTGTAGAGTGTACTCAGAATAACTAAAAATATCCGCAGAAGCCAAAATATCTAAATATTTAGTTTCGTCATTGACATTTAGAACCAGCTTCATTCCAGTGGTGGACTATAGCAAAATAAAAGCTCTGAGTATTGACATTTTAACTAAACCTATTTGGTTATGAAAACAAATGGGATGGGCTTTTGGCCTTACTGACAGCTGTGCCCTCTATTCTGTCCTCAGAATATTAGAATAATGGCCAAGTATTATACGAGGATAACGATGAAGAGGATGGCACAACTTCTGGATCTGTCTGTTGATGTAAGTAGTAAACGTTGTTTGTAACCATTCATTTTGAAAATCAATTGACTTGTAAAAATTGAGCAAGAAAATCAATTTTGTTTTATTACTTAATTTTAAGTTTAGGTGATAGTTTCCCCAAGCTATCTTGAATACCAAAGAGTAGCCTAAATAACAAGTTTATAGCTACATTAATATTATTTATACTAGTTAAAATCTTCACTTAAATATGGTAGTTTTACAGTGATTAATTTGAAGATAAAGTATATATTTCTATAATAAATATGTCTAGGTTCCCAAAAGTGAACTGTAGAAATAAAACATATGAGGGAGACTTGATTGCAGTTCACCTGAAAAGGACCCAGGACGTGTTAGAGGAATATCATCTTCAGGTCTGGTTTTCATGTTGGTAAAATGTACAATAACAAAGAGATAGGAGTTAAGCAAAGTGTATAATAATGGTCTGAAAAGCCATTTCTGTCACCAGAAGGAGTCTGACAGTTTAGCTGAAAAGGAAGAATCGTGGAATGTTCGGGTTAGAGGGCTTGTTCCTCGGTTAGTTCATTAGCTCTTCTCGTTTCTGGATGAGGGTGCCTGGGTCCTTAGAAGTAAAGTGCCTTCTCTTTGGCTACAGAGTTGGCAAGTGGCAGAGCATATATTCTAACCCAGCATTTCTGGAAACAAACTAACTGTATAATACTGCCTTTTAGGGGGAAACGTAGAAGGTAGACCAAGTTGCTGTTGGCAACAGGCTCTTGGGCAGTACCCACAGCATTAAGTTTGCCGGGAGGTTCAAACTGAATGCTGACTTTGAGTGTACTCATTCTAATCATTCCCTAGACTCTTAGTAAAATAAGTACATCATTGCAGGAAATCAGCAGTTTCTAACTCTTAATGAATTTTAGCACATTCTTTTTTTTTTTTGCGCGGTACGCGGGTCTTTCACTGTTGTGGCCTCTCCCGTTGCGGAGCACAGGCCCCGGACGCGCAGGCTCAGCAGCCATGGCTCACGGGCCTAGCCGCTCCGCGGCATGTGGGATCTTCCCGGACCGGGGCACGAACCCGTGTCCCCTGCATCGGCAGGTGGACTCTCAACCACTGCGCCACCAGGGAAGCCTGAATTTTAGCATATTCTTGAGTGAAGAGTTTAGAGAATGCTTTCCTTAAATTTTGTTTATTGATAATTAAAATTATCTTGTCTTAATCCAGTTTGTCTCTCTCTTGCAGGAGTCAGAGGCTTTTCTTTCGAATCTAGTAGTTAACAAGACCATCTTTGCTAAAGTAGACAGGTTGGCAGGAATTATCAACTTCCAGAGACCCAAGGATCCAAATAATTTATTAAATGACTGGTCTCAGAAACTGAACTCATTGATGTCTCTAGTTAACAAAACCACACACCTCATAGCCAAAGAGGAGATGATACATAATCTACAATAAGTGTCTCCATGCCCTTGGTGCTTTTAGAAAAGAGTTAAAATTGGAACTCATTAAAAAAGAAAAAGACTTTTATGGTGTATATGTTGGGTTTTTTTTTTTCTAAGCTCTTTTGTCTAAAATTTAAAAGCTAGTGAATATGTTTGAGGCCCCTTTTGATCTTCAGTTCCTCGATTTCATTGTTAACTTTGCATGTGCAGTTGGTGCAAAGATATATAATACATTTCTATTGTCTGAGTACTCAAAAAATTGTCATAACTTACCTAAATACGTTATTCTATCATTTGAAACCTTTTTAGCTACTATTTGTTTCCATTCAGCTAACAACCATAACTATAATAATAAAAACAGTATATGCACGTTTACCTTCCATGGTTACCTGTGTTTCTAAACATTTTGTGGGATAGTGATTTAAGTGTTTTTTAAATAAAATTAATTTTGTTGTAAAGCTATTGATTTTTTAGTAGAATTTAAAAAGCAGCATAGAACCTGTAAGAACATTTGGGATAAAGTTGTGATTTGTGAAGAATTTGTATTTTAGTATTGTGGCAGAAAGTCTCTAGATTGAGTGTGTACAGAGCTATCTGGTAGGCTATAGACTTTTTTTTTTTTTTTTTTTTTGAGTCAAGCTAGTTTCAATCACAGTAGCTTATTGGTACCCCCTTTCCCTGACTTGACCAGGTGTTGAACTAATTGTGTTGACAGAGGTTAATACACAAGGTCCTTTTTATAACTCCTTTGTGGCTTTAACTTCCATGTGTAATTATATCGTTAATGCTCCAACTTCATTCTCTCCTATAGGAACTTTAATTCCATTATATGCATGCTAGATAACAACCTAAAATGCATTAAAAATGACCAATAAAAGAGACTTCAGGCCACCCTCTTGGCAAATGGTGTAGTGTTGACACACTTCTTTTAACAGAATTAAACAAAGTAGTTTTACTGTTAAAAGAAACATCTGAGATCACTTACTATGAGCAAATTTTAGAAGTTTTAAATTTTGATTTCAGAGAAAATGGAAAAAGGAAACAATGTCAGGTTATTTAAAATATGTTTAAATGAAGAAATTATAAGATCTTTTTTAAAAAAATACAAATAAAGAGAGAGGGAAGGGCATTCTGGAAACAACAGTTTTCACAATTCATTTTCCATTTAATGATCACTAAATCGTCCTATTTCGTGATCCCAGGGCTGGGGACAGTTGTAGAACCTCTATTGTGAATAATAACATAGTATTAATCTAATTTTATTCTTTGGAAATTTAATGTATTGGTCACATTAATAACAAAATCTGCTATCCCTTATCTTTAAAAACTAACGAAAAATATGACAAGGTGAGAAACATCAGAAGTTTACGTTATCAGTAAGAATATAGTCTTTAATTTTCTATTGAATGAAAAGATAGAAAATAAAATCATTTTGCATTGTTAATTTGTAAATTGAGTTGGAACTAATTTGAATCTAGCTTCTCATTAACTTCATCTTTCTAGGGACTCATTCCCCTTGTACTTGCCAAACCTAGACTGTTTGGCCAAATATGTTTCTGTAAAGATCTCAAATGCTCCTCTTCTTTGTTTTTTATTTTAACATGCTCACCCTCAAACTAAGCTTTTTGTGTGTTCTGATTTGGTGCCATTTGTAACTGTGTCCCAGTGACCAAATCCCACTTGACTTGATTAACTGCTCATCCATTGTTTTTTCTGTCCAAGCAAACTTAAGAGTTATTATCAATTTCTCGTGTTACAAAGAAGAATCCATTAGCTTAAGGCAGTAAAACATTTGAGATGTTCTGAACCTAAAATCCTGGCTCTCGTTTCTCACCTAAAGCTGGCATACATGAAAAGGTTAGAACCACTTTGTTTTAATATGGAGAAGTGAATACTTGACTCATTGTTTTCATTAGGTTACTAACCAGCAGGAGAGGTGATGAGCCACTGTTTTGTTTTTTTTTTAATGAAACACCTTTTACCCTTTCATTTCTGTATAATTTATGTTTTTATTTTAGAGTTCAATCATTATTTCTATAATTATCAATTTCCATATGCTTTTTGTTGAATCATTGAAAAACATTTCTAAAATTCATACTGTTCCATTCTGTCTCTTATAAGTGTTAAATGTATGATAAAAGAACATATTTTAACTTGTTTCCAGCTTCTGGATATAGCTGCAATAAAAGCACTAATTTGTGGATATTTAAGAAAAGCTGGAGAATAAACTCATACTTTAAAAGATCACTTCTTTTTTCAGTTCTTGTACTGTTTATAACAAAAAGCCACAGATACTTTTCATTTTTCTTTCTAAGTCATGCTACCTCTCTAATCCTGTTTTGTTTTTTGTTTTTTGTTTTTTTTGCGGTACGCGGGCCCCTCATTGTTGTGGCCTCTTCCGTTGCGGAGCACAGGCTCCGGATGCGCAGGCTCAGCGGCCATGGCTCACGGGCCCAGCTGCTCCGCGGCATGTGGGATCCTCCCAGACCGGGGCACGAACTCATGTCCCCTGCATCGGCAGGTAGACTCTCAACCACTGCGACACCAGGGAAGCCCTCTAATCCTGTTTTTAATCAATGAGAAAACATTTTGTACATTGCAACAGGTTGGCTTTTTCCCCTGGATTCTTTCTGATTTGGGGTTGGTGACAGGCTGTGCCTTATTGTGCTTTGACCAATGGTTCTCTCACTTAGCACACATGCGAATCACCTGCAGGGCTTGTTCCAACACGGATTACTGGCCTCACCCCCAGAGTTTCTGATCCAATAATTTTAATTTCTAACAAGTTCTCAGGTGATACGGATGCTGCTGATCCATGCACTACACTTTGAGAACCACTCCTTGAGGATACTTGCAGTAAATGCAAGAAAAGAACCATGTTAAGTTTCTAAAAGATATTTTGGTGAGAAAAAAATATTGAGTGAACATGAATATCAGTAAAGTTAGGATTGTGCTACAAGGTGATGCTTATCCATTTTCATTTGTTTTTGAGTCTAGCGATTGGAAAATCTAGTTTTATCCTGCCCCCTGAGATGTAATGTTCTCACTTTTTCAGTGGATATAAAACAATGTCTCTAATTTGGAGCGTAATATTTCCTATGTTGAAAGAATTGAATGACATCTCTTTGAAGATTGCAAAAGTTTCATCATCTTGCTATTTTCTCTATAAGATTGGGAACCATGTTTATCTTTGTATCCATCATTTTGTTACATAATAGAAACCTAAACACTTGTTGAGTTAAATTGCTTTAACCAATTGATCTTTTTTGTTTTTTTTTTTTTTTGTGGTACGCGGGCCTCTCACTGCTGTGGCCTCTCCCGCTGCGGAGCACAGGCTCCGGACGCGCAGGCTCAGCGGCCATGGCCCACGGGCCCAGCCGCTCCACGGCATGTGGGATCCTCCCGGACCGGGGCATGAACCCGTGTCCCCTGCATCAGCAGGCAGACCCTCAACCACTGCGCCACCAGGGAAGCCCTAGTGCCCTGTTTAATTTCATATCTTAATTTGAACTTTGGACATTTTCCTTGAAATGTGAAAGAAAACTTTCTGGTTTCATAATGCCTTTTTTTTTTTTTTTTTAATGCTTAAATGTCACTCGAAAGCACAGAAAGTAAAAAGGTTAAATATGATGTAAACTAATTTTACTTGATCAAGATTTTCGTATTCATTTTTAAGGATTTTGAAGAATTAGATAAGTTTAAAAGAGCTAACTAACCTTCAAGAAATAGCAAAGGTAATGCTGGGAAAGAATAGATGTTTCTTAAAATGCGTATCATGTCTGCTGCTGCCAAATGTACAATGTGATGCCTCGCTACAGAATACTAAACAGCTGGCTTCCTGGTGCTTCCACATCGATTTCCATTGTGTGTAGAATGCAGGGCCGTTATTTTATTCAAAGTGTTCCCACTTAATGGAAATACTATAAAAGACCACATCCCCTTCACCTTTTAGCATGCAAATCTTGAAAGAGAAGGTTAATGTAATTTTCTTCTGCCATCAGTACTTAGGGATTGTAGTAAGAGTTTGGAAGTAAACTCTTCCTCTAAGATTTAGATTATAATAGCAACATATTCTGGACCAAAGCAGAGAAGCAGATACATAATGGCTCCCTGGCTGACAAAATCTGACTCTAAAGAGATAAGCTTCTAGAGACCAACTTTCACAACTAGTTGACAACTAAATTCTCAACATCCGGAATAGTGCCTAGCTCATAGTTGCAAAATGCATGGACTTTGAAGAATAAGCAGATAACTCTAACTTTACTAGCTTTAAGATTTATATCTAAAATGTCAATCAAGGAGGTGGCCATGCAAGCTAGAAAAATTAGTCACAGAAGTACACGGGGGTGTGTGTGTGGGAGAGACATCCTTAGCTCACCAGATCCAAGTGTTCTGGACTTTTATTTTAGGCTGGGCCATCCTAACTATGGAAATGGGTACAGGAATTACAGCCCAAAGCCCATAGTCCCATTTTTGGAAACACTTCTCAAGAAATTGAGGCAGCATGCAAAAATAGCCTAAAGTCATATAATAAGCTCACCTGATCTGACTTAATAAGCAAACTTAAGGTAATGATTTAACTTATCATTAAGTTCATGATAACTTACGAAGTATTATTTGATAACTTACCAAGTATTATTTTCAAAAAGATAAAACCTACTGTAAAATGATTCAGTCATGTGGAAAACATGTTCAGTGGATTCTCAGAAACATAAACTTAGAATTACCATATGACCCAGCAATTCCACTCCTAGGTATATACCGTAGAGAACTGAAAACAGTATTCAAACAAATACTTGTACATAAATGTTCATAACAGCACTTTTCAAAATAACCAAAAGATAGAAACTACCCAAATGGTCATCAGAGGATGAATGGATACACTGTGGTATGTCCATACAATAGAATATTATTTAGCCAGGAAAAGGAAAGTCAGGAATGCTGATATATGCTATGGTGATGATGAATCCTGAAACATGCCAGATATAAAGAAGTCAGACACAAAAGACCACATATTGTGTGATTCCATTTCTATGAAACATCCAGAATAGGTAAATCCAAGAGAAAAAAGCAGATTGGTACTTGCCAGGGACTTGGGGGAGGAGGGAGTGAAAGTTACTGTTGAATGAATAAGGCATTTTATTTTGCGGTGATAAAAATGTTATGGAGGGACTTCCCTGCTGGTGCAGTGGTTAAGAATCCGCCTGCCAATGCAGGGGACAATGCAGGGGTTTGAGCCCTGGTCTGGGAAGACCCCACATGCAGTGGAGAAACTAAACCGGTGTGCCACAACTACTGAGCCTGCGTTCTAGAGCCTGGGAGCCACAGCTACTGAGCCCACGTGCCACAACTACTGAAGCCCACGTGCCTAGAGCCCATGCTCCCCAACAAGAGAAGTCACCGCAACGAAGAGTAGCCCCCGCTTGCCGCAACTAGAGAAAGCCCACGTGCAGCAATGAAGACCCAAGGCAGCCAAATTAAAAAAAAAAAAAAAAGTATGGAACTAGATCCATGTGATCGTTGTAAAACATTGTGAATATACTATTTTCCACTGAATTTTTCACTTTAAATTGGTTAATTTTATGTGAATTTCACCTTAGGTTTTTTTTTTTTTAACAAGGTAAGATCATGACTCATGTAAATATAAAATATGCTTATCAAAGATTTTATTCAATGGAATATTACTAGCCATAAAAAGGA